AAGTGCGAATTCGGTCAATAACGCCTTTTCTTTGCCTTCTGCACCTAAAACGCGCAATTCGGCATAGGGCTCTACATGTGCAATTTGGATGGGGTTTTCTTCTGCTCTTTCTACATCTCCCTTTCTTACCATCTTTTCATTAGTATCTCAGCCATATAGCTCATCCACTTTCGAGGGAACGTGGCTGAGTAAATTTGCTAGAAGTGAAAGAAGAGGTAACTAATCCAAGGACTATGAAACCAGTAATGTGGTGCCATGTGTCTGGGAGAGGACCTTATTCCAGCAAGGCTTCCCAGAGACCTTGACCTTAGAGGGATCCTGACATTATTAGGCCATATCAGAACATGTCACGCTGTCTTGAACAGGGTGCAGACGAGCAGACATGACGTGGCTTAGGCAGCGTTCAGACTTCGCGACGGCAGCGCTCCGGTCGCGCGATTCGACGATCGATGCGCATGCTTTCGACTGCATCGATCGCGTCGAACGCGCGACCGAAGCGCTGCCGTCGCGAAGTCTGAACGCTGCCTTATGCATAGAAGAGTGGCCTTTCCCGAGGCGAATTGCGCCCAGCAGAGCCTTAAAGACAGCCCCCGCGCTCAAGTAGTACATGGTCGTCCTTCCTTGTGCAGGTAGTTCAGCCCCCAAGCTAGATACTGTCCCACTCTCGCGACTCCACAGTGAGCGAGGAGCGAGCTACAGCCGCTCAAAGTTCTAGTTCTAACGCCCGCTCAGTTGGACCGCCCACTTGCTAGATGCCCTCTGACGGAGGGCCGCTCAGTTGTTCTTTGTTGGGACGGCGGGCCATTGCTAACGCGGATCAGTCGAACTGCCCATGTACTTTTTTGATTGACGCTCGTGCCATAAATGAATTCTCCTCCTTCAGTCACATTTTATTCATTTGTCCCACTGCAACCCCATTTCGCCCAAAGCGGGCTAAGCGTAAAAAATCGCGAGTGTGCTATTTCGTTGTGCAAAAGCTCGACAGGCCCACCAAAAAGCTAGGCACATGCCCACGTAACCCCAAATTTTAAACTAGCCAATTTTTTGATTTTATCAAGTGTTTTTTGTTCAAGTTTTTGTTGTTATTTCGTATTCTTTTCTTTCATTGGTGTTGTCCACACTGGGAATGCGACAGAGCGGATTTCGTGAGCCCAGGAGATTGCCCACGCGACCGACCAGGCGGTGTAACTGTAACTCTAGCATTCTGTCTGTGGTGTTCTTGGGGGCTCTCGCTGACTCTTTCCTTCATTGAAGGAATACTTTTCAAGCTACTGCTTCATAATTGGCGATCGAGCATTATCCTTGACATCTTTTATCCGGGACTGTCTTAAGCCTGTCGTAATCATATCCTTATTTCCCATTCTCATTCAATCGGTGGATCAGAAGATCGGGTAGGTTCCACTCGGAGATGAGCACTTCCAGAGAAGGCGGAACATAACCCGACTTGTGGCAGTAGTAGGATGGACTGAAACTGGGTTATGGGCTTGGGAAGGACTTGTCTGCGATTCCGCGTCAGCGCCATATTGTAGGATCATTTGTAGAAAACTGAAGTGTGTTAAGGGCTACATCGCTTCGGTACTTGTTGCTTTTTTCAAAACCGCAAGCTGCTGTACCGCTAGGCGCCGACGAAAAATTGCAGATTGGCCCCTCCCAAGACTCATTGCCTCAACAATAGGGATACTTTTCTGCATGTAATGGTATGGATATGCAGCTTCTCATGTCGTTCAGCAAGCACAAGCTTAGTGACAAAGACACTTGGGGGGGGGGGGTGGAATTACGTGGCAGGGCGACTGCCACGTCATACCTGCTTGTCTGCGCACTCTCACCATACAGGACAGCGGCGTATGTATCCATTCCGAGGTTTGCAAAGGAGGTGATATGTTAAGCAGACATGGTATGGTGTGGTGGCGACGACGAGTGCCCCCTCGCTCCCCACCTCAGCTACCTGTACACAAAGGGTCCAAGGAACGAAACTTACAATGGATGTTCAGCAACACGCAAAGTAAACCATGCAGCCACCACATTGTAAGGTCAGTTCTAAGTAAATGAAGCTGTACCGCGTTGATAATGCTTTTCTGATATAGGATTCCACACCATTTGTTTATGGGAATGATTTTGGCTGCAGCGAAGGGGTGGGTTGAAGACACATTAAGCCTTCAGTTGGTGCACAAACGCCGTCCCAAGACATCGTGGGCCGGTCTGCAAGCACAGAGTATGTTGCACTTCAGCGGCTCAAGACTACACAATTAGGACGCTACTCAGTTGCGACGAAAGCGATGCCCCGCCCTCTTATCCACTACCGTATTCTGCTGGACGAGTGGTTGAAGTGGCCCCAGTGCGAACAATACGACGCAGATTTCCGGTCGTAGGACTCACGGTAGAGTGCAGTTTGCTTGTGTCCGATTCAGAGGAGCCCTCAGAGTATTGGTTACGTACCCCACCTCCAGCGTTCGCCCGTACTTCGTCATCGTCTCCGATCTCATCCACCTTCGTGTCGATTCGAGCAGTTTGTACCACGCGCAACACCTCTATTGCGCAGACGAATGGTGTCGCATGCGCGCTATTCGCACCAAGATTCCATTGGTCCGACGTAATGATGCTACATTCTGTAAGAACTGCGAACAGGGAGAATTTCGTAGTTTCCGCGCAACACGCGAACCCCTGCCTCAAACTAGCTAGACGGCGGTCAGAATTGAACTGTCTATTGAAGTACACCCCCCCCCCCTCTACACCCTTATCTGAGCCTTTGGCTGCGGAAGAACCGATAGGGTTGGAATGCTATCAGGAGTGTTCGAGGAATAGCGAAAGTGTGGAACGCTCGGCTCTGTGTTTTACAGCCTTTTGAACAACTTTTGTTCTTAACGCAGATTCATTACCATCCTGAAGCGCAACATCTTCACGACACGTATCCTCACGACCGTCAGTCCCACTCGATTGACTGGTAAAGTCCAGCAATCGTTAAGGCAGCGTTCAGACTTCGCGACGGCCTTTGCGCACGCTTCCAATGAAGCATCGATCAGCGTCCGACGCGTGACCAGAAGCGCTGCCGCGCGAAGTCTTTTAACGCTGCCTAACAATGGCGTTTTTGCTACTTTTGTAATGCAGACGAAGTCAACGTCCGAGTCGACAGGGTAGACAAATGCTACTTAGGCACGCTCGATACGTTTCTGTGGCACTAACCTATCAGTGGGCACTTTTGAGAACAGAACATTATCTTACAGTGAACCAGCTTCGTTGTTAGACCCTTCACTATTCGAAACTGATAGAGAATTTCAGGGGCGTTGTGTGATTCTAATTCGTCGGTCGTCGCGGCCGGTGGAGCGGAGCGGGGCGTAAGCCGGCCGGTGCGCGTACAGAGTTTTTGTTGCGTGGCGTTCATGTTGAAAGCGGCACAGGCTATTGCTATGGCCGTTGCTCCAATGACAACTCGGGAGTACGGTAATGCAACTCCGGGATAACCATATGCTGTTGATAAGAAGAATGAAAGAAGGTAAAGAGATATCGCAAGCAGCTGTAAAGATTATCAGTTGGGATTATTGTTAATTATTGATTATCAGTTGCAGCTGCAGTGGAGCGCGCGCTAGTCGCTGCTTGTGTGCTCGGGCGGAGTCAGGGAAATCGATACATATTCCCCTCGCCGGAACTTCTAGATCACTGATCCACCTGCATCTCCCCAGCTCTCAACGCCACCTTATCTGTATTAACCACCGGCGCTGCGTTAACATACCTGTGCAGTGTGTAGGCCAACAAGCCTGGCCGACAGCTTCGTATTCTCGGGTCACGACAAGACGACTGTGATTCGCCGGCGCTGTTGCGTCGCAGCGGATATCGCCGACCGCGTGCCTGCACTCTGATAGCTCCAGTGCAGTGTATATTCTCATGTCTACTAACTACTTGAACCGTCGCACCTACTACCCCTACTATTCCACGACGCGCGGCGCGCGATGGCACGGCAAATCACGATTTTCCTGACCGTCTCGCCATACTACAATGCCGACTCTCCTATCTGCTCAGGGTTGCAAACATTTTTGACGGCAGACATGAACTGTATACAGAGCGGGGGTAGCAGGAGCTCCGTGCCCTTACTGCTCTACAGAGAGGTTTCAGTGCGGTGGACACTCTAACCAACAAAACCTTTATCGAAGCAAGCACTATAGGCTGAAGTACAATGCAACTAATAGTGGAATACTCTCTGGGCTGATCATGCGTGATCCTTTCTTTTCTGGTTTGCTGGCGCCATCTCCTTGTTGATGAGCTGGTGTCCCTTCAGGTCCTTCAGTTGCTGCCTCGCTTGCAGATTCTGAGCCAGGTTGAACTGGAGGCTCACTCGAACCTCCATGTGAAGCTGAGCCATCTCCAGATGCTTCCGAGCTACCACCACCTGCAGCTTCCGAGCTAGCTCCTTCTGCACCAGGAGTGCCTTCACCTCCGCCAGGAGTGCCTTCACCTGCGCCAGGAGTGCCTTCACCTCCGCCAGGAGCGCCTTCACCTGCGCCAGGACTGCCTTCTTCCTCAGCTGCGTCTGACTTCGGTAAACTTAGCGTCAACATAATGCAGAGAAGAGCAAGTGCTGAAAGCAGAGGTGTGATAAGACATTCGTGGGCTAACCATGTGGATCCCCACCTGGATAAAATCCAAATGCCATTTCGTTTATAAGTCGAGCGTAGAAGATGTTCTGAAATGAGCCTCACCCACTGCATCCTGTTTAAATACCCATGATGAAAAGCAGTGGAGCGATAAGCGTCTTATCATTAAAACCGAAGTTTCACATTTGAAAACTCGTCTTAAGTAAGATAACGACGTCAAGCGTTAACAGACGGGAGTCTGTGAGAAGTGCGATTTCTCATGGCTTTCACTCGATGTCTTTTGGGTAACAAAGCGGTCTGCGTCGAACTATCCCAGACATCTTCATCTACAAGTAGAAGCAAGCAGTTCACCAATGCCTCCACACAGTCACGGGAGTATGAAGACAGCCATCAACGCCAGGCCGCTCGTTTGTAGGTTTCTGGAGACTGTAGCTCTACTAGTGCAGGAAGCCAAGTGTTCTGCCTTCAGAGGACGTCCCCGTGGTCCATTAGAAGTCAGCCTGACATTACAGCTCCCTGGGATTTGAGGCTAGTCGGGGTGTCGACGGCAAAAGGATCGAAATCAGGTGAAAAGAAGATGCTGAAAAAGGCAGAAAGACAAGTTCACAAAAATTTGAAGTAAAGGATATTTCAAATTTGTCTTTGTCAAACCAAAGCTTCTGAGGATTCCCCGCAGTCCAGTCAATGGAGCCGAGAGTTTAGCTAAAAGTGCTCAATTCAGAACGTTTGTTCTGCCTCAAAAGCAGCACAGGCTTGATAGCAGTAGCAGTTGAAACTACACACGTTGGAA